ATAATAAATATTTTTTTATATCAGTACTTTACTCTTATGAAGATGAGCTTCATCTTTATATCACAAATAATAGTAATTTACTTAAATTACTTGCAAACTGATCTACTAATTCAGACTATAATTATATTTCTAAATTATTTTATTACTATTGTAAAACTGTATTGAGTGATTGTAATAGTATAAAAATGTTTAATTATCTAAAATAATTAATTAATAAGTACAATATTTCAGAAAATAATAAAATAGCATTAAGAAATATAATGCATATACTAAAAAAGTATTTATTCTTTATATCATAACTAGGCTAATGTACTAAATATATAAGAAAATTCAACAAGTAGGTAAATTATGTTATATTGATTTATTTATATTATTTGATCTACTTAATACCTTTATTACTTTATTTTATACAAGTTATACTATTGGTACCTTTCTTTTTAGATTACTAGTAACTTTTAATGAATTTGAAGTTATTTTAAAAAAAACAGTAATTAATATAATATTTATCTTTTTTAAAATAAATTTATTAAAAAATAACTAATAAATAAATAATTTCAATTAAATTTATTAAAACTAATTTTTCTACTATATGTATTATATAGGTATGAACTGAAAACAGAACTAATAATTATATTTACTAATAATTCAAGTACTAAATATAATATATTAGAACTGTATTATTTATAAAAAATTTATTTATTATACACTTTCTATATCTTGCAAACTTTTTAAAGATAGGTCCATAATTCAAAACATTATATTATTAAAGAAGATCAAGTATATGTAATAAATAAAATAAAAAAAATTTCTGCATATCTGATTTTTTAAAAATAGATCAATATTATTATAAATTTAAATATGAATATTATAATTCATATCTATTATTATAAAAGTACTTGAACTTTTGTAGAGTCATCACTGTTTTTAAGCTCTTGTATTTTATACAAATTTGCTTATTTGGGAAAATAACACTAACAATTATGTTAAGTATGGCTTTGGCATACTGAAAGATATTGTTTTTATAAGAACACAGACATATAATCTTATATAAATAATTTAGTATATAATATTTAATATGGAAACTTTTATTACTGATGATTGCTTAGTTTTGTATATAGATATTCAAATTATTTTCAAGTTACAAAATGATTTATGTGTCCTAGTTGAGAGACAATTAATATAAATTTTATTTAATAAACTAGTATAGAAAACAAATTTTCAATATTAAGTATAAGTTAATATAATCTTTTTTATATTATTAATAATGAAATTAGAATATACACATATTCAGTTGATATGAACAGAATGTTCTACAAGTATCAGAATATAGTTGTAAGAAAGTTTTATATTTGAATATTGAATTTTTTTATTATTATTAACTTTTGATAACTATATAGTCTTTATATATATTATATTTGATGAAATAAATTATAATTGAAATAGTGTAATAAATATTATAACTAAGAAATTTTATATTAATTTATTAAGTAAAGTTGTAAAAAACAGTTCTTTTTATGTCTCACTGTATATAGAACCTATTGATATACAAGAACATCCACAAGCAGAACTGCTTAATCAAGATTTATCAGAATCTTCATATTATGAACAGAAATTAGTATTTATTTTTAAATTATAAATATTAAAATAAAACATAAAACTTAATTAAATTATTTTTTAAAGTAAATTAAACCAAATAAATTAGAAAATCGATATGAACAAAGAAATTAATATAAACAAGAAAATCAATAATACTATACTCAATACTTTTTTGAAAAAAATTAAGAATGATTATCAAAATGATGGTTTGTAGTTTCATGCTATATTGAACAAAATTTACTAGACAATACTATATATCAAAAACAATATCATTTGTCTAGTTATCTCCTTTCTTTATAACAGTAATGCAGATCCAACCTGTATTAAAAATAGTACTATAATATATGTTCAAATTGAATCTACCAAACATTACAATTCTGAAAGTTCTGATAAAACTAGACAAAAATCACATGCTAAAGCTAGAAAAAGTAAAGAAAATCTTGATCCTCAAGCAATTCCAAGTTGGAAAAAAAGGAAGCACAATAAAAAAAAACATAATCTGAGAAAAAATATTTTAAACAATCAATTAAATTGATTTATTGTATTAAAAAAAAAATTTATTTCAATAAATTTCTACTTTGATAATTTGCTGTTTCAATATTTTTTAACAATACAAAAGTTTAAATTTAATAATTGATAAATTTAACAACTTTCTTTTATAATTCGTTAAATAAAATATGAAATTATCGTTATCGTTATTTTTACAGTATCGGTACTGACAAAGATCGTAAATTCGTATTGAAAATTCACACGTGATACGTCAGATCTTTGTGGCTTATGCTCCACCAACCTGGCACACATTGAAGAACTGCCAGGAAGAAACGTTTGTTTTGTCAGAAATCCCTTATTTCTCGAAAAACTATATAAGAAACCACTCTTAGTGTTCTAACAAAAAGTTTTCCTTGAACGGTTTTACTTTATAATAGCAAATTTCTAACCATATTCTAAATACTAACCCTAACTTTAACGAATCTTTACTACGCAATAAACCGACATGTATACCTATAGTTGGTGGTAGAATTACTGAATTACGGCATTACAGCATTCTACCATATGGTAGAATTACTGAATTACGGCATTACAGCATTCTACCATATGGTAGAATTAATTACGGCATAGCATCTAATTGCCGTAATTATGTGGAGGAGCCAAAATTCGGAAAATCGACCAAAATTCTGGATCGGTATACATCGGAACGTTTCAGCATTACTTATTACGACCTGTTTCCGATGAATTCCGATCCAGGCTTTTGGTCGATATGCTTAATTTTGGTTCCGTATTTATAATTGCGGCAATTACGGCAAAAAATACGGCACGTGCCGTAATTCGATAATTTTCAAAATTAATTCTACCGCCAACTATACTGTATACCCGGCACACATTTCAGTCATGCGGACCACAATCATTATTATATTGATCACAGTTTGATTATAATATTTAACGATCTGATTAATATAAAAATATATTTGGTTGTGTGCTTCATAAATAGTTAATTGTGTTGGTTGTTTAATTTAGAAGCTTTTTTCGTGTTTGATGCTCTTTTATTTATCACTTACAATTTGGAATAATTCATGTTTTATGATTCGTTTAAATTAAGTTAATAATCAGAAAATAATGTGACTACGCCCTCGATTGTTAATATTTTTTTACAGGAATTAGAAACATTAAAATAAGATAGACTGTTATTTATGTTATATAGATGTTATAGATCACTTTATTATCCCGTACATAAAAGTTTTAAGGCTATCAAAATATACTATGAATCCAAAATAACATTTAAGCTTCATTAAATTTTCAAAGCTTAATTCAATCATCTAAATGACAATATAAAATAAGTACAAATTTGTTTAATTATAAACACTGTAATATAAAACTTACCAGCAGGAATTTCTAAAGGATCCATAGGTTTACTTGGTGAAGCTGCAAGCACAAAAGAATCAATTGAGCTTTTAGTTTTCGATATTCTTTGAGTGTTATTCTCTAGTTCTTTGGTCTTCTTATCTGCAATCAGAAATTCTTTTTTTATATTATTATTAAAAGAATATTTTAAAATATTTAGCCATTTGTTAAGTTTTAAACAAATTTCTTTGGCATTTGGTCGTATCTGCGGATCAAAATCCATGCATTGTTTGACCAATTCAATATAACATTTAGGTGTTCCGGGAGCAAATTCTGATTGCATTAGATTTTCTTGATCTTGAATTGCTGACCAAATTTGGTGTCTATCTAAATCATCACGAGGAACTTTCCCTTTTGACATCATCACCATAATAACACCAAAACTATAAATATCTGACGCCGACGTGACTGGATCCTCAAACCAAACTTCTGGTGCAATAAATTGTGGAACTCCGATGATTTTTTTCTCTGAACTATTATCATTTTTATGTCTGGATAATCCTAAGTCCGTAATATAAGATCGAACTTGGCCACAGTATTGATCGTAATGTTGTAAAATATTACCACCATGAAAGTCACCATGAAAGTATCCTGCTTTATGAATTCGATCTAAATCATATGATATCTGTATTAGATGTTCTAATTTATCTTCCCATTTAAGCTTTTCAAAATTTAATTTCAAGAATTTCCGAAGATCTCCTTCGCTAGCATATTGAAAAACCATAAAATATTGGTTGGTTTCTTCTTTTCGAGTTAGTCCATATACTTTAAGTCCTATACCCTCCAATCTGCATTCTACATGATTCTCGAACTTTATAATATTTACGAATTAATAATTGCAATATAGTAAAATTCATTTCATAATTATAATTTTAACTTACTTCTTTCAAAAAATTCACAGAATTATTCTCATTATTCAAGGTTTTGAGTGCTACGATGCAAGATTCTTCTCGAGACTGCTTGTAATTTCTATAATTGCCTTCTATTTTTCGTTTTCCTTCTAACCAGACCGCTGAATATATTTTTCCGAATCCACCTTTGCCAATTTCTTTAAGGTCGATTAAATTATTATATGGAATCCATTCAATAATATCTTCATATGCTTTTGCTTTAAGTTGAAATTTTACAATAAGTTCATCAATATCTTTATTTCCACTTTTCTTATTTTTTATATTTTTAGGATCACAATTGCGACACCAGGCTGGCGAAGTGTTATCTGAATTACAATAATCACATTTTCCATAGGAGGGATCTCTGATAACCATTAAATATATAAATTAGTTTTCTTTTTGGCCATTATTAAATATTTCACGCTTAAGCACATCGTGCCAGTAATATTATTTACCCCCTGATTGAACACGCATGTAGTTGATTAAGGTTATGTAATGTTTAATATAATAATTATAACTTAACACAAATTATATACTCACACACTATTAATGAATAAATAGAAAAATGTGAATATATTTTATAATGATAAAATTTTTGTTAAAGTTAATTCATCATTACTTCCTATTAATTAAATATGTAATGTTAACTTCTTATTAAAAACCGGATTATATATTAATTTATATGTTTATACTTACCCACTCAATTTAGCATGATGTTTATTAGGATATAATAATTTTAAGGAGTAGTTCGTCTCTGAAGGGGCAAATCTTATAATACTGCGATGACTTTTATTATAAAATTTTACCCCTTTAACTGCGGACTACCCTTAATTAACTTTAGCGTAAATAAATATACTCACCACCTTGTTTAATACAGTTACATTTTAATATTTTGAAACACAAAATTTAATATATAAATTATACTTATAAATTATACTTACATCCTGTTAATTTATTATTTTGCAGTTAGTTAGGAACAATATTTAATATTAAATACTTTTAAATCTTAATACTTACTCTCTGTTGATTAGCAGATATATAGCTTATTAGAAAAATTATGTTAAATTCCTTTAAATAATGATCTTGTGCTTTAATACTTACACTCTGTCAATTTAAAATGAGTAAAGTTTTTCAATGATTATATTAAAGTATTCTTTTTAAGCACTAATATAATACAACGCCATTCTATACTTACTCTCTGTTATTAACATTTGTGCAACTGATTAGATAATCAAAAGCAAATTACAAATTTGGAATAAGTCTAACTCACCGTCTAATTGAATATGTATGTAATTGATTAGAAGTGTAATAAATATATTATTATAGTTGACATCCAACATAAAACTGTACGATTTGTTACATGTTCTGCTTTCCAAAACACTAAACTCTGGCCAGATTAATGAATTTTGCAAATGGCTACTTTTTTAGAGTTTTGGATTTATACAGTTTGTATATCGGCGGATTTTCGGAATTTGGTCTAAATTATGGTCCTAGATTTAATAATTTATACAAATAATTGGATTTTGAGGATCTGTTTTATAATCACATTATTAAAATATCTAGAACCGAATTTAGGCTCAATTCCGCAAATCCGCCGATATGGGATGACACTAAATATAAAATCTTTATCTTGAAAATCATGACTCAAAATTTTCAAGGCAAAATACATAATAATATATTATACATACAAACTGATAATTTAATATGCATACAAGTTATAATTAATTTTAACCTTTTTAGTCTTATTTTATATAAATATTATCGTTATACTCACTTTCTGTTAAATGATTATAAATCATTTCATATTAAAAATTAAAATAATACAAAAGATTAAAATCTTCAAAACAAGTATACTAACCGACTAATTTCGTACAAAACAATTTAATTAGAATGTTATTGCTAAATCCTTTTAATGGCAAGATTACAGATACTCACTCCCTGTAATTTAGAACGCATAATTATAGTCATATATTTAATTTTATACAGTATACCATTAGGAAATGAAACTAATAACTTACGCTCTATAGAACATATTTATTAATTAAGAAAATAATCAGTTATTCACTCCCTAATATAAATTTAATTTGCACGAAAAATCCATATACTCACAAGCTAATAATTTATTATATATGGGTTAATTAGAAATGTAGCATTTAGGCAATTGAATATTTTTTTATCATAAAATTTATACTCACAAGCTGAAAAATAATGTATAATTAAATATATATATCTTAATTTTAAACATTTAAAAGTTAGATACTTACGTCCTATTAATAATTTGTCAATTAATATAATTCATTGGAAAAGTAATAATGTTGTATATGATGTATATAAACCAAACTCACCATCTAATTTAATACTTATTAAGATTAATACGTATCGTTATACCAATGCTTTTAAAACAACAGATTCATTATTTACCCCCTGTTGATATGTATGTATTAATCTATTTAGTCATAATTCTCAATTAGAGGTCAGAATCGGTTATAACTCCAAAAATAGTGATTTGTTGGCACCCTTCATTTTAAACCCGGTTTATATGAATTTTACAACTAAATTAGAATTTTATAAATAGATTTAATACACGTTACTCTGATTACACCGACATGTTTAAATAACGACATCTGGCTATAGCGACATTTGTTTACAATTTTGAGCCTATATACTAATATGAAAATGCCTCTAATTAAACCGACATCTAGATATATCTGACAATTTCTTTGTGTCTATATAACCAGAGTTACATGTACTAAAATTGGCTCAATCCGGATTTAAAGTCGAGTTATAGTAACCGATTCAAACACTATTCTTGATGCTAATTATAGTATAAAGTACTCACTTCCTATTTAAAATGCATATAGTTAATTAGAAAATAGTAATGGCTACCAGCTTCAAAATGCAAATTTTAATTGGACTTTATACTCACAAGCTGATAAATTAATATGATTATAAGTCTTTATTTGATTTAGTTTGATATAATAAATCCACACTCACTTTCTAATTAATCAGAAGTAGAATTAGTTTAAATCCATTAATACACAAAGTTTGATATATATAAACTTATACTCACAATCTAATTCGGCATATGTTAACTTATTAAAATTAATGCTTTTTATGAGCTTATTTTTTAACATAAAGATTGTACTCACTCCCTAAGAATTAGGCATACAAATATAGTTAAACAGAGAAATATTATTGTCAGAGTTGAAGCTAAAACAAAGGATGCAGAGATATCTAATTGTTATATCGAGACCCGTGATATCATAATCCGCAAATTATCTTAATAATCTACGTAATTTTGAAAAGGTTTCAACAACATCCTGTTTAGTTTCTGTGCAGCAATAGTAAACTAAACTTACTCTCTTTTGAATACATGTAAAGTTAATCGTTAGATAGTCACGAATTACTGATTTGTTATTCACATCTTATACTTACTCTCTAAAAATTTATTTTTGGATATGTATATAGTGGAATTTAGAAATAATGACTTTAACAAATACCGTAAATAAAATTTTACTTACCTCCTAATGATTTTAACATTTGGTCAAAAATATAAAAGGTTGTTGTTTCCTTTAAATGATATCCTACTTACCATCTAAAAAAAATTTAATTCATGAAGAAGGCTTAATTTTAAATATTTTTCAAATAAAAAAACTAAAATGATTTATTTCACACGTAGCGTATGCATATTAACAGTTAATTTAAATCAAAATTAGGCTATTGTTAGTATTTAGGGTGGGTAAGCATGGTCTATACCAAATCTTTACAAGGAACTTATTATAGCCCAAAAGTTTATTTCATGAAATATGAAAAATTTTAAAGAATACTACGGAAATCTGATTGACTTCCATGTGCATACACTTTCATGTGACATAATAAATTATCCTTTTAATTAACATAAAACTTATACTTACGTTCTATCCATCATATGCAAAAAAGTTAGATCCTTCAAAATGGTAATTTTGAAATTTTGTACGAATAATCTTAAATACTCACTCCCTATAAATTTATCATTATGAGCCGATTACAAAAAAGCATCAATGTTGCATCTAAAGTAGTGCCTGGCTAAAATTAAGTTCCCGGAATTAGATATTCATGCATGCATTAAGTTATAATTTTAGCCAGGGCGCTACTTTAGATAATCGCTACTTCAGATGCGATATCAATGTCAACAAAACTTATACTTACAACCTGTTAAATTAGAATGTACACAGTTGAATACAGATGTAAATTTTAATTTGATATAAAGCGCTTTATACTCACAATCTAATTCAATTATTTATATAAATATTACATGTTAAAATCTTTTACTTAAGAATAATTTATTTATACTTGCTCACTATCGAATAAAGAATATATAGCGTTAAGTTCTTTAGAAATGCTGATTTGGGATAAATAAATTTCATACTTACTTCCTGTAAAATTAATACAAATACATCTAATTAGAATGGCACTAGGTTTTAATATAAATAAACATGGCAGCTTACGCTGATATTTTCACCTATTTTGATATATAAGCCACCACAATAAATTTTATACTCACGCTCTATCAAATTAAACAAATGAATCTGATTAGAAAGAAAACATCTGTTTTAAAATGTCCATTTAATTCTGATGACTTCTTACATGCTAGTAAAAAATTAAAATGTACGTGGTTAATTAAAGAGATATTTAGTGTTAAATCATTTAACGAATTGGTTTTAGTTAAAACTTTATACTGACTCTCTATTAATTAAGTGAATATACAGTTGTTAAGTAATTTATAGCATTATTTAATAACTAGTTTTAACATAAATACCTGCTATTATTATATAATTAAGACAATGATATTGTGGTAAGCTCTTAAATATTCGGTATTGTTAAATCACACCAATGGTATTAAACACCACAGTTGCTATATCTCAAAAACTTTCTAAGTAACCAAAGCCAGATATATTAAGTAAAAATGTCCGGAATCCCAAAAAACCTTACCCTAGTTTTATTTTTAGTTTTAATTTTTAGTCTATAACCTTAAGCATTGATAATAAATATTATATGGTGTTCAACACCATTGGTGTGATTTATAATAATTGTAGATTAAAAATAAATTTGGCACTTACTCCCTTTTATATTAAATGTATACAGTTGATTAAGAAAATTTAAAATAATTTAAACGTTGATTTAAATTACTTAATGAACTTATTACGCACCATCTACATGAATAAACGAAGTTTGTTAGATAAGTTAAATTTTGATTTTGACAAATAAATTATATACCCACTTGCTAAATTAGCAAATATAAATTGAATAGTAAAGTGAATAATTGATTTAAGTTAATTTGAAACGATAAGATGATAATTTCAATATACTAACTCTCTTTTATTTTAATATATGCAATTGAATAGAATATAATATTTAATGTCATATCTCTAAATGGTGAAATTTAAACATAAATAAATTTACTTACGCCCTTTAGATTAAATTGCATGAAGTTTAGTACATAAGTAATATTTATATTGAACCAACTTTGATGAAAATAAATTTTACGCTTACATTCTATAACACATAATATAGAATTAGATAAGTTCTTTTAGCTGCTAATTTGTTATAATTCATTAACTTTATACTCACTCTCTGTTAATTAAATAGTATGCAGTTAAATAAAATTGATAGCAACGTTAGGCTAAAATTAATTACAACACAATTAGATACCCATCCCTATTCATTTAGTATGTTTGTAGTTAATTAAAAAAGTGCCATTTTATATAAGACTTTTAAATTATTAATTTGGAAATAACCATTACGTATACTTACATCCTATTAACATATATTCAGTTAATTGAAATAGAATTTAACGTTAAATAGAATTTACATAAATAAGTTATAATTACCGTCTATTATATTATAAAATTATTAGTAGTAAGTTAATAAAAACTTTTTTAATGCTTCTTTAATATATAATAATAATATTCACCGTCTAATTTAATATACAAAAGCAATATTAATTCTTTTAGAGCTCTTAAAAGAGTGCACTCATATGTAAACTTAAACTTACTTCATAAAAATATGTTTGCGGACCTCCATTGCCCACGTATTATTTTTTTTAATCTTTAGCAAATTTTCTAAATCAGCCAACGATTCCTTATATTTTTTCATTAAGTAATAAATTTCAGCTCGATACTTTAGTGCAAATGTGTCAATTTTATCGATATTCAATATCGTTGTTAAAGATTCAAGTGCTTCATTATATCTGCCCAAAATTAAACAGGCCTTGGCTTGATATTGATAGAAATTTGTCTCATTTTTCGATAACTTTTTAAGATCTTCGAAATCATCTATCTTCTGTTGACTATCAAATTCATATAAAGCTCTATTCCATACATCTTTCAAAGATATATCGTTAATATCATCATCATTCATTGCTATTTGTAATAATAATATTATTATTATTACATTCTGTCACAAGAGAAACCAGGCACAAACGATAATTATTACCTTCATATTTAAACTTATGCAGTCCAAAATTTGCTTCTAAAGATCCTTCATCGGATCTCAAACCAACACAAGGATATAAATCACCAATATCATCAATTTTAAGTTTAGGGAATGTAGTTCCTTGAAAATATGTACAAATTTTAGAATTCAGTCTAATTAAGATTGTAATATCCATTGATTTGACTTTTTTAATAATAGTATCCTATTTTGATAATTAAGTCACATTCATTCAATGTGGGCACATTATTTACAGTAGAACACCATAAAGCTAAATGAACAAGTCAAATCAACGGATACTTGTTTCAATTTTGTATATATTGGAAATTACCCAGATGTACTCCGTTTTTCGTGAAGAATACAGTCTTATCTCTAAAATTTAAGCAACATCCGATAATATCTCCAGCAGTAAACGATGGTCCATATAGTTCTCCACTTCCTGAACGTGAAAAAACCC